ATTCAAAAGGATGACGTTTTCTGGAAAAATGAAATGGAAGAGAAATTGAAATTCTTCTACATGAACTGCTTGCTCCCAGAACTGGTCGATCCCAGGAAAAGCAGAAATATGCCAATCCGCGATCCCGATGTGATCTTGAAGGCACAAGAGAACCGTTTGAATAAGAAAAAGAGTTCTTGAGAATTGGCTATTTTTGCTGTACTCGGGTACCAAAATGGAAGAGATTAGCATATTACATTGTACGCCGTTACTAACTCCTTCGTGTCGGCAAATGCGGTGTGCAGATCTCGCTTTACCAGCGATGTGCGAGATGTTATGCTAATCTCTTCCATTTTGGTACTAGTACCAGATGTTCACTATTTATTGTATATTATGTATATATTGTTTATTTAAATAAAAGTCAATCGTCAGGCTCAATAGCACGTAGCATCGGCTAGCTTTATCTAGTCTGTTAGATGGCGAATATTGAAATGTCACTTTGACACGTTAAGCGCCACAGTAGAATCTGAAAATCCAGTCCACTGGGCCAAACTGTTATTATTGTCAAATTAGCTTGTTTTAAGTTTCGGTTTAGTATATTGACTTGACTTTTTTCTCAAATGCTATGATTTTTCCCATTTTTGATTTTTTTTCTGAGGTACTAGTTGTATGTCGCGTGGCCCACAGACCAGTCGGGTCGCGTGGCACATAAGTCGCGTCGCGTTTTTTGCAAGTCAAGACTTGCATCATGTCGCGCGTTGAGCACTGTTTCGTGTCATTTATTATTGAAGCGTTGTTGGTATTGTACGTCATCTTGTCCAAATTATACTGTTTATAAACTATTGAATACCAAATTTAGTGATGCCGCATTACGAAGCGGAGCAAAAAAGGCTTGAACAATTGTGTAATGAAATACTATCGGATGAAGAGAGTGGCAGTACTGAGTTATGTGGGGATGTATACTTATCTGATGCGTATTCTCCAAGTGGTAGTGAATCAGATAGTAGTTGTAGTCATTCCATATTTATCTCTAGTACTGTTTATTTATACCGGTATTTTGTTTATTCCTGCATAGAACTTTGTCAATCTGTTTAGTTTATAAGAGTTCCTCCATATTTGTGTTCGTTAGAATATCGACATTTACCATAACTTACTGATTTGCTGTGAAATTACTTTGTTCATTTTTGAATGAGAATGTCTGATTATTTTATAAGATTTGCTTTTTGTTTTAGATTTGTAGAATATCCTCTTTTTGTAAAACTATAAACAACGTGTTTTTTAATGTTTTCATTTCCAATTCAGTATAATTTGGTCCCTCAGGCCACGGACTCTTGGTTCCCGTAAGAAAATCACATCAGCATGGCACACGTTACGCGGCCAAATATAACTGCCAGCAGTGAGACATATCATGTGTGTCACGAGGACCAAAGCGCCAAATGAGGTGCGACACACGCGTTATATCTCATGACGCTTATCGTGTTAAGTCTATTTTACGATACTTCATAAGGTTAAAGCTAAACAGCAAGTGACATTTTATTTGTGTTAAATGCGTTCACTATAATTATTATTTTTAACTAAAAAGATTAAGAAGCTTTTGGTCACAAAGTTCTGTATTTTGCCACACATGTCAAGTCTTTTCATTTGATATGTAAATTGGGGGTTTTGTACAAAAATATGTAACTCGCAATTTCGAAACGGCGGCAATCTTGGAATCATATTTTTAGTGAAGTACTTTATTCTACAAGGCGACGACTCTTATTTGAGATATGAGCAAGTATGTTATCCGCCATTTTGTGACGGCCGCCATCTTGATTTGAAACTGTTTTCATATTACTGTTTTGTTCAAGTGCTTCCATTTGATATCCGTATTGGGGTGATTGAACAAAAATGATTTTTTGTGGTATCACCTCTGAAGCATGGCCTATTGTATAAAAAGAAATGATCAAAATCGATTAAAAATTTCTCCTCTTCCATTGAAGTCTATTAAAATGTCACTTACTGGTCCGACGTTCATCTCGAACGACCGACGTCAAAACTGCTACTGTTTAACTGACAACAAATTATCTGAATACGTCCTTTCTTAGTCCGTACACACCGCCGCGTTGCTTCGACTGGCAGCACGAGATAGTGGATAAAATTCGTGTAAAAGCCTATTTGCAGAGGTTTTCGCGCTTCAAAATTGACGCTTCATTTTTGAATATTTTTCAATGAAATTTTCACAGTGCACTAAAAACAAGACTCCACAGGGTGCTATAGAGCCACTTTTTCGTTTTTTCCTCTGGGTTATTTTTAAAAAAATCGAGAAGTCGAAGAACAATTATCTGCACTTCAACCCACCATAACTCCTGAAAAAATTTCTTTTTTAAAAAAGTGGCTCTATAGCACCCTGGACAATTGTCTTCTGAACATACTGTATAAATTTTATTCTAATATATAGAAAAATAGAGCGTCAATTCCGAAGCAGCTAAACCCTTGTAAATGGCCTGAAACTAACTGCGTCGGAGCCGCCTTAACAATATTCAGAGACAGTTTTTATGAAAACCCTACATGAGATTGAAAAACATTCAAGTAATTAAATTTGCTTAGATGTGATTAAAAATTTTAATAAAAGAGACATCAGTGGCATACCATTACTGCCTGTCAAAATAAGCAGGTGAAATTCCTTAATAGCATCACTGGTGGAAATTAAAGAAATGCCTCGTCACTCATGTACAATTAGGAAACACACTGAATTGCAGCTCCTAGTATTACAAGAGGTAAATGCACACTTTTGAGCCAAATATTTTTTGCTGTTTCTATCATAACTAACAAACTCTGCTTTTCATATGAGTCTTTCAAATATCAAACCAGTTTAATTCTTGATATCTCTTTTTCAACCCAAAAATGCTTTCCTTTCAAATGCCATACTTTTGATAGATTTTCCCTTTTAAGTTAGGGTTCCAAATCAATTAAAAACTTTTAGTATTGAGATTTGAATTTCTGTTTTTCTGATTTAAATTCATGCTACAACTGTGTTTACTCCCTGTAATACTTCATATTTGGTAATCCTACATGGATATGGCATTTCATGCATCCAATGATAAATGGTAATTACGATCTTCACATACACACGTTGTACATATTTGTAGCTTGACACTTCACATAGAGTCCAGTAATGATTTGTGAATAGGCATCTTGACATCAACAATGCAGTTGCATTCGGGATGTTTGTTATCCATGGAGGAACCAACTTTTTGTAAAGTCTGTTTGAATGAATCACACCTGAAAATAATGCAATAAGTATATAATATGAATATCCCATGATTTGTTTTGTAACTTACCAACCTTCATCAAGAGAACAGCTTGGTTGTAAGCTTCTGGACTTTCATACAGGGAATTGATTCCCACAGTTTTCTTGTAATTAGTTGTGGAATTTTCTGCCATGATGGTACAAAGTAATGAAGAATTTAACTTCATGCTGCAACTCCATTTTCCCATTTACACCTTGTAATGTCTCATAATTGGTGCTCCTACATGCCCGTGCTCTTTTTAATATCCTGAAATCATGATTGTCAATTTACCATGGACACAATTTCAGAACCTTTACACATTATACATACCTGCTTGGCACAGCTTGTCTTCAAGTTCGTGAGTGTTCATTCTTATCATTATGACTATGATCATACAGGTTTATGCCAGGCTTTAATTAACAAATTGCAGTGTAGCACATATCGGTCACATAAATCAAATTCACGTTTTGTTTCTGTAAGATTCCTTCAATTATGCCTGGATGCATAAATTCCTTCTTAGAAAGATCATTCACCTCCTTATCCTTCAAAAGTAAACATAGCATTTTACTGAGGAACCAACTTCTCATAAAGTCTGTGATAATGAATCACACCTGAAAATATAAATGCGATAAGTATATAATATGGATATGCAATGATTTGTTTTGTAACTTACCAACCTCCATCAAGCTTTGTTGTAAGCTTCTGGACTTTCATACACACAAATATATTATAGTATAATATATCCATGTGCATTACGTCGGCAGTCTGACAAGACCTGCTAAGTGCAAATAGGATGATTTTACAGGAGAATGAAAAAACACATCAAGGGCCCTTGTACGTGAAATATCAACTTTATTATAATTCTATTGTTACTGTGAGCAGGATAAACTAATTTTGCTAAAATATGATTGGACTTTGCTTAAAAATCACATAGCAGATATTGTTACGGTGTAACTTATCGACTTAGCAGCAATTGCTATAAAGAAACTTTATTAACTAAAGAAGGACAGTATCATAGGTATAATAATAGTTTTAGAAAATAAAGAACATATTTTCATACAACTTCATTTCTTGCATTTCTTCGTTTTTTATTTTCCATCCAAAGCATCGGACTCAGTAGTGTTTTCGGCAATTTTATCTTTTTTGTATGGAAGAAGGTCATAAAATGTATGGCAATCTTTGGAAATAACGCTCTTCAAGTATTGTAGATGCTTCCATTTAGTCTGTGTTATTTCCAATCTATCGCTGTAAAGGCTAGGTTAGTTTGAAGTCACAGCGATTTGTTTCGGTTTACTCTGAAGACTTTTGAAATCGTTATCGAAATCAAGCTTCACTTTCAGTTCACCGCAGGGATCATAGCATAGCGCTTTGATGTCGGTCACAAGGTTCTCTCTGCCGGGTCTGATTGTCGAATAACGAAGGAGCTCTGTTTGAAAAAAGTGTGCTCCAGCTGGATCACTTCTAAAGACGCTGTTACATATTCACTGGGTAGCTTGATTATCCTGTTTTTTAACTTTCTTTTTATGCAACTATGCACTGAGTCGCATTCCATCTGTGTATGGCCTTTCGTGAGATACTTTTGAAAAATATCTAGTAACTTTGTGCATGATAGCAAAATTCAGTAAAGCGTTTGACATAATGTTGTTCCTGTTCTGAAATGTGCACCCGTCTGAGTAAATAATTATTGGCAAATTATGTTGTAAGCAATGCCTGTTTAAATAATCCAGCAAACATGAAACGAAAGTCGACGCCTGCAGTCCAGAGTCGACCTCGGTAAACCAATAGCACGTGGCTTGGTGACTTACAATATTATATATGGTGAAATTGTGGCAGCTTAGCTTTGTTTCAAAATAAATCTTTGTTGCATTCACCAACGGAGCAACTTTTACAGCTTGCAGATCCATGCAAATTACACTGCACTCGCCTTTCACAGCTTTCTCCTTATCTCGGTTTTTTCTTTTCTAGCCTTTTCTTTGTCTTCAATATGTTTACTCCAAATACTACTATCAATATTACCATTTTCCTGCTCTATGCAAATGTCACATCTATCTTTCTTTGGTGAAAACAAACTAAGATTTTTCTCTTTAAATATCTGCTTAAACACCTTTATACCCAGGCAATGCTTGTTTTTCTCATCACAAACCTCTCTATAAAAATTATGCAATTGCTTCAGAGTAACGAAATGTTGCTCTAAATAAAATTTACTGGTATCCTTTCTCACATAGTGAGATGGCTGTTTCGGAAGGTCATCGAAAAATAAATTCAGGAAAGCTTTACTGTCCTTGAAAGCGCGTACCCTATTATTCCTATTCTTTCGCTGTTTATTAAATTCTCCCTTAGACTCGTTCATATCGTATACACTCTCTTTTTTCAAACTTTCCACTGTGAATCATCCTAGCCCTGTAGTATTGAGAAAACGGGAAAACATTTCTTTTCGTATATCTTCGATGAAAGTATTACAAAGCCTCTTCTTTGATTTGAAACACATTTTTGAAACACATGCCATTCCCAGTTTCCTCGCTGGGCGAGGAGTACTATGTTTGAAGTTTTTGTCCTTGTCACGCGAAACTCCAAGGTAATCCTCCTCTTTCATTCTTAGTAATTTGCTTTTATTCCTTTTCCATTCATTTTTGTCTGCTGTAATTTTTATTTTTCGTCCTTCAGTCATGTCACCCCATTATTAAGTTTTTGATGATCATTGACAGTCGGCTGTCCTTCAGGATAATTTTCAGTTGCGCTATTTTCTTTATCACTTTCGATAGCATTATCATCGAAGCTATCATCCTCTACTGCATAGACATTATCTGGAACGGAATCACTATCAAGATCGCTTTCATTACTACTGCTACTAAAATTGCCATGACTTTCAGCGGTTGGCTGATCTTGATCACGATGGCGAAGATCTAAGTCTTTATCCTCTAAACCACAAATATTTATTCCTAGCTCAGCTGGCGGAAGATTGAACTCAGCTTCATCTATTTCAAGAACAGCATCAGCCAATACGATCTCCATACTGTTGATATCAAATCCATTAAAGGTGCTTATGTGTTCATCATATCTTTCTGGTAAGGTGCTTGGTACTGCTGGTACAACTGTTTGGGAATCAGGTTGTACTGTATTATCAAGTTCTTCGAGAGCTGATTTAGTTTTTTCTTGTTCTCTCACTAGATTTAAGATTTTTTGTGCTCGGGACGCCATTTTTCCTAAAAGAAAAATATAATTTTGTGTTTATTGCGCACAAGCACCATACCTGTGAGTTGCATTTGTTCACCTAGATGACATAAACATCATAAAAATAATATAATTATGCTTATCAACAGGTAAAAAGCACTACTTTTGTGTTTTCCAGTGTATAACAGTTTACAATATCAATAGAAACAGAACGTGCTAAGTTCCTCCTTATACAGAAATAATATAATTGCAATGACTGCTATCTGCGCTTTATTACAAAACGTTGATTTTAATTTCTTTGATCAGTTGTTTGTTCAAAAATATAATTATGCATATAAAGTAAAACTTATTCTTACCCTTATTTGAAAACTTCTGGAGTCTTGGCTAGTTATTCGGAGAAAAACTGGACACAATAAGCGGTGCGCGCCAACACGTGGTTAATAACCTACAAATTTACGAATGCAACTGGACGTTAGCAGGTATTGCGTCAGCTAATAGTAGACGGGGAAGATCGCAGCTATTGTTTCGCGGCAATAGCGTAAACAAATGAATTATCTGTAGTTGGCAGATTATTTCATATGATGTGCCGTTAATTTATGAAGTCAACTACATAAAAAACTCATTTTCAAAAAAATGTCAGTTAGCAGGTATTGTCAGACTGCCGACGATTAATTTTCCTAACTCAACAATTTCTTGAAGATACCACAGGTTGTGGAATTTGTTCAATGTAGCGAGGTACTTTTGAGTGATCGATAATTATTTGCAAGAAAATTATAAATTATGGTTCTGCCGTCATGTGACTTGATCGTCAAAACAACCTCAAGCCAGAACTGTCAGATGTCGGAAATCAAAAGGAGGACATACATGTGCGTTTACGAAGAAGACGTAATATTATCGAAATCAAGAAGGCCATAAACGAGCCCTACAATTGTCGGGCGCCTTTATGGCCTCCTTGATTGTCATAGTTTTCTACTTCTTCGTGTCAGTGCTCTATTTTGAGATTGTGTCACAAACATCTATTTTCATCAAATTGTGCTTGCTTTTGAGTTATAACTTGTTTTATCAGCCTGAAATTTCCTACAATTTAAAAAGAATAGGAGAGCGCTGACGCTGACATGTGACAGATGTAATCTAGAAATTCTTGAAGGAGACAAAGGAGTATGACAATCAATGAGGCCATAAACGCGCCTACAATTGTAGTATTACAGAAATATTTCAAAAATCCTGAAATCAATATGGTAAAGTGCACGAAAAAATTAATTGATGTCATAGACAATGATGAAGTAGAATCAATTATCAGCAATCATCAAGAAGGGAAAACCAATCACAGAGGTATTGAAGAAACTGAAAAGCGAATTAAGGCACATTATTACTTTCCAAAACTATTCAATAACGTTAGAGATTTTATTAACCAATGTGAAACATGTCTCATCACAAAATATGGCAGACATCCTCTTAAATTACTATATAACGTAACCCCAACAGGCACAAGACCTTTCCAAATTTTGCATAAAGATAGCATAACGTTGGAAAATTGTAGATTTTTAATAGTTATGGATTCATTTTCGAAATATGCTCAAGCATATAAGATAGACTCAGCACAGGCTATAGAAATAGCTAATAAATTGATCAAGTATTTTACACACCACTGCATACCTAAACAAACTATATCAGATAACGGTATAGAATTCAAAAACTCAGTTGTTAAAGAACTTTTAGCAATGCACAAAATTGATATTCACTTTTTTAGTTCTCAACACCTTGAATCTAATGGAATGATAGAAAGATTCCATTCAACTTTAATTGAACATATTAGATTGTTAAACAATCAGGAAATTTTCAAAAAGGAACCTATAGAAATTAAAGTCAACTATGCAATTTTAGCATATAACTATACGATCCATTCTGTTACAATTTTGAAGCCTTATGAGATTATAACAGGATATTTAGGTACTGCATCACTAGTCAATCTTGATGTAGAGAATCTGTTAGTGAACAACGATGTTCAAAACCATAGAGAAAAGATGAAAATTTTGTACAAAAAATTAAATTTACATTTGCAGCAAAATAAAGAGAAAGTTATTAATAAATATAAGCCTGAAACTGTTTCTAAGGTAGACAAAAATCTCAAAACCGCAAAAATTAAGCCAACGCATGACAACACAACCGACAAAATTCATTTGTCAAATGTCAAAAGACCAAGAAAGGTTTCTAAGACTAAAAAATCATTTACAGGTTCATCACCAGCGCACAAGTCATGCAAATAAAGGATGTCAGCCAAAATTTGGGAATACTACCAATAAATTTAGGACCAGCTAAACCGCAAAATTCTGATCACACCCTCGTACACTATTATAGATTAGGAAATTTATATAAGGAATATAATAAGTTAAATAATCAATACTATGATTTTGAGCTTAAATATTAAGTGTAGTACATAATTTGAATATTATGAGCGAATGATCAATATAACCCAAGAATCTATTTTAGAAAAAATAGAAAATATTTGTATACATTATGCTACTAGTAATAGATCACGTAGAGTCTTGTTTAATGGAATTGGTAGTGTAGTTAGATTTATTACAGGTAATTTAGATTCTTATGATGGAGAAAAAATTTACAAAATCATTAATCATATGCCGAACAATGAGAAAAGCATCGAAAATCAATTGAAAATGCAATATTCAGTTAATGACAAATTGATCGAAAAATTTAATTTTATTATTCAAAACATTCATAACTCATAAAGGTACACTGTAAGATTGATTTTGATGAAATCATTTATTTCTTATCTATTCCAATTGACTTCGAGGATACATTCGAATTATTCTACATGCACCCAATACCTACAAAATATGTGTCAGAATTTATTTCGATTTTTCCAAATTTTAGATACTTTTTGGCATCGATTGATCAGCAATCAATCAAACCTCTAAATGCCATTTGTACCAAAAGCAATATATACCACTGTCCTCATCAAGCCCAAGCAAGCATGAATATTTTGAAAAACAAGACCGCAAAAAATTGCTATTTTATCAAAGTCAAGATAAGAGAAAGTCACATTGAGCTCATACCAGAGATCAACCAGTACCTAGCCGTTTTTCCAGTTCAAGAAAAGTTAGAGTTTCACTGTCAAAAGCAAATAGAATCAAGGTTTTTATCAGGCATATTCTTGATATCGCAAGATAACTGTACAGTCTTGTTTAAAAACGAACCGATTAGATTTTTGGACAAAAGTTTTGGCCAGCCATTATTCATGGAAACGCCAAATTTCACTTTCATTCCTGAAAGCCAGAAAACGAATTGAACCTGAAGATATCGATTATACCACACCGAGTGCTTGGGCTATTTCCTTGTACATTTTCCTCACAATTCTGGTCATTCTACTTATTTACAGAAAGTTCAAGAAGAATAAGAATCCCACTCCCATTCCGAAGAAATCACCAAGAAATGATCGAGAAGAAATTGAGCTACCTTCCAGAAAACTGAACCTTCCAGGAGAAGCTTCATTCTAGGGGTGGAGGAGTTATAGGGCTACCCTGTATCCTACTAGAAGATAGAAGATGCAACTGAGCACCTTTACCCAGCGCCTGGCAACTGCGAGATTGCAATATGATATTTTCCTTTGTCTTATCATTCAAATGAACATTAGACTTTACATTTTGTAACTCAGTTAGAATCTAGTCTTCACGCCAATCACTACTTGTAATTTCTGAAATAAAATATTTTTAAAAAGGCACTTACGCAAACTCGAAATATAAGTTAAATAGTGGCCCATAAGTCCTTTGAGCTGGAAAAAAAGGAATAAAACCAAACTAGTTACATTATGAAGAATTATTATATTTTGTTATCATCTTTATTGAATGGGAATTATGTTTTAAAAATCACATCGTCTAAATGCAATCCATTACGATCACGGCACTCATATAAACGACGTCTAAAATTGTCGATGACTGCGCGGCATTTCTCTTCGGATATTTTCTTTCAGGACATCAACTGATCGCGGAGTGGTGTCGTACACTTTACTCTTGAGGTAGCCCCATAAAAAGAAGTCCATTGGGGTCAAATCTGGACTACGTGGTGGCCAGGAAATGTCTCCTCTTCGAGAAATTACTTTGCTGGGAAAAAGTTGACAGACGACGGGCATAGAAGTGTTGGAGGTGTGGGCATTTGCTCCGTCCTGTTGAAACCAGCTCTGCGTATTATAGCCTGGAAAATTCTTCAACGCTGGTGTCAAAAACTCTCCTATCATTGCTACATACCGCTCTGAAGTAACAGTTAATGCGCGACCTCTGTCGTCCTCAAAAAAATAATTGCCTACGATGCCATGCGCTGACATAGCAGCCCAAACTGTAACTTTAGGGCTGTGTAAGGGCTTCTGATGCTTACGCCTTGGATTTTCGGGGCTCCAATAACGGCAAT